ATGATTCCCAATCCGGAATAACCCTTATACTGTATGTAGCTGTAGGGAGGCAACACCGAACCGACCGTGACGAGGTCCAACAGCCGGGGGCAACGCAACGTGCCCAGGGGCGACCGTGACATTCATTAAAATAGTCCATGGACTTTTTCTTATTGGTGTTTTTCGGAGATTTCTGCTAAAGACACAGTCAGCCCCATGCAAACACAGTCACCGTGACCGTCGCCTGCCTACAAGTACGTACAGTATGGGTGATTCCGAATGGGGAATGGGTGATTCCAGATTCGGAATACCTGCCAATTACCTAAGTTTTTTGATTTCGAGGTTTAGGCAAAGTTTTGCTTCGTTCTCACTCAATATTAAACATTTCACTTAGATCTAAAAGGTAAATTGAACATAATAATAACCATTACAGGACACTAGACAGCCAAACATATGGGCGATATACTGTCCAAAAATTAAGTAGCAGTGTTTTACGAGGTTTTTGATCACAGCTTACATCCTAATCCAGTGAACAGACTCCACCTTTTTGGTGTGGGTTGCATCTCACAATTAGGCTCACATCTTGGTCAGTTGAGGTTGCATTCTGTTAGGCTTGCAAGTCAACATTCACTGCATTCCAGGGCCTCCTATGCTGACTCAGTTCAGCCGGATGTAGCTCAGTATGGGTCAGTGTAGGCTTCTACAACAGGTCAGTTTAGGTCACCTACGCACAACTAGACAAAATTGAGTTGAGCCGGACGTAGCTCTGTATGGGTCTGCTCAGGTGGCCTAGCCCAAGTAATTGTAGGTCAGTTTGAGTGCCTACGCTCACCTTATGTCAGTCTCAGTTGCATCCAGTTTTCAATATTTATTTAAAAAAGTTGTTCATCAACCAAGTTGGGTGCGGCTATGCTGGCGTCGATGTAGGTGCCTAGAATGACCTACACTCACCTCAGCTACGCTATACCCAGCTACACAGACCTAGGGAGGCCTAGATGGACCTAAATCCATGTGTGTAGGTGGCACTAAGTGTAGCTCTGTAGGTCCCTACACTCAGGCTGAGTTTAGGAGTCCCTGGAATGCAGTGATTGTCATTGATAGCCAATCATCTCGGCTGTACACTTGGGTCAAATCTCCTTTTTCGGTTCAATTGTTTTTGATATGAGAGTCTCTGGTTAGACTCTTTGGGAATGAGAGTTTGATTTAGCCTATTTTCTGCTTCTCACCTGAGTCGTGACGATGCCTGGCAGAAAACACTTCTATATTTTTTTCACAAGCTTCGACCAGGCTTAGTATTACTGTGGACTTGACTTGTAGATGTGCCTTGGTCCGAAATGAGTTCCTAAAAGTCCTGAGACTCCTTTGCGCAGCATCCGTGGCCGTGCAAGTCCTAGCCACCTTTAGACTTGTGCTCTTTGTCTTTCGGCATCGTCACATCATAGTTTTCGATCATTGACATCAATTTGATATCCCTCGCCGAACAACTAAGGTCGAACACGAGCTCCAAAACATGTAACTAGAACTGATTTAATGTGAGCATGACTCAAGATGTAACCCAGCTAGATGTAACCCTGTTCATGTAGTTGTGACTAATTTGAAGTTACACTCAAAAAAAACTGCTTCCAGTTGATGTTGTGAACCAACTGAATTTTTGTACAGTATATGTGCCATACAAACACACAGATCATTTATCTGGCACTCAATCTCACATACAAATGAAACTGGCCCCTATGTAATTTGAACAATACTTCAACCCGACAAGTCCAGGTACCACCACCATATGGAAGATCTGGTTGTGCTGTGCTTCTCCCTGCACAGTTTTTCTGATGACAGTCCATGCAAGGATTTTTACAGAGATTTTTGCGGACACTCCCTCTACAGCTGTCGACCACATCTGTAGTATGCGCGTTTCATTCTCTTTGGGGCCACATCATTGGGCAAAAATATGTCCGTCGAAGCTGCTGAATGCTGTGAAAAAGGGCTCCTTTTCAATTTTTTCCGGATAAGCTTTGGCCCAAGCTTGGATTCCATCCAGATACTGGGCATTACTGGGCACTCAATCTATCGAAATACAGTCTATGTAGAACCTGAAGGCTGTTGGAAAACTATTTGGCACCCAAACCATATTGGAAGACAGTCCGCATCATTTCAAAAATAAATTTGGACATAGCCCCACGATGGCTCAAATGTGCAGGGAATTCATCCAGAAGGTGTACAGGAAGAGTTTCCATAATTATAGAGTCCCAACTATTGAAGGTCACAGTTTTTTTGCTAATTTTTGATTCACATTTGGGACAGAGATGTCGCCGCCCTATCTATCTAATCCGGAAAGATGGGGCCCCAACACGGATCTATAGGGTTTTTTGGCCGTATAGATGCGTGTTGGGGCACCATTGTTGTCCGAATTCCTAGAAAAGCTGTCATTTTCGTGTGTCGGGGCACCACCAATGGTGCCCCGACACGCGGAAACAGGCCATTTCCAGGTGTTGGGGCACCATCCCGGTGTTGGGGCACCATTCATCTACAAGGCCCAAAATCCCCTTATAGATCGGGTTGGTGCCCCGACACGCAGAAAAAGGCCATTTCCAGGTGTAGGGGCACCATTCATATTGGGGCACCATCCATCTATAAGGTCCGAAGATCGGTTGGTGCCCCCACACCTAAAAATGGTCTGTTCTCGCGTGTCGGGGCACCATCCATGTTTCAAACTTTGAAAAAATCACCGTTGTCAACGTGTTGGGGCACCATTCATCTATAAGGCTTGGAGTCACCTTATAGACACTGTCGGTGAACCACACTCATGGATGGCCTGCTCTTGCATGTCGGGGCACCATCCAGGATTCCATCTATAAGACGTAAGTTCAGGCTATAGATACAGTTCTTCACATATCGGCGCCGGAGTTTCCTCAATAAGCCCCAAGATTGTGCTATAGACATAGAGGGACTACCGGTTTCACCAGAATCATGGAAGTAGTGGTTATAGAAGGAGTAAAACGAGAAATTGTCGGAGTTCACATCTATAAGCCTGAATCGGGTGTTATAGATCTTCGAGTGTGAAGTCCATATTATGGATAAATTTTCAAGAAATCTAAAGCGCAAAATATCTGTCATAGAGTCTGGTCAGGAAGCATGAAAAACAGATAGACATGAAACACACCTATGCAAACTACCCTGTATTGAAAAATGTGCTTCAAGTAGCATTGCCACTGAGTGGTATGGAATTGCCACTTAAATTCGGGTTTGGGCTGAATTAACTAGATCCAGAAGAGATGCAGCCCAGAGTGCATAGAATCAACAGAAATAAGGTCGGATTGAGCACCAGAAGCACAAGAATGGGAGTGGATGACATGGAGGAAAAAGGGAAAGATGTGTGGCATGAGGTGATCAGTGTCAACCATCTGATGTGGCGGCGGTGATGCCGTAGACTGTCACATTGGTGACTGTAACGAGTATATATAGCTGCACCCAAAATCGTCGGGCCTAATCTTTAACCCCCACCATCCCCTCAAACTGCGACTTTGATTACGTAATTTTCTGCCTAATGGCTTCCCAGGTACGTGGAACGATCTGTGCCATCTATAGGGCTAACCATGCCCTTATAGACGCCGCCCTCTTCCCAGCTTGTTAGTGTGAGGATCCTCAACAAATCTATAGCACTAACAACCCTCTTATAGATAGCTTCTCAGCCTCGTGTGCTCAATGCTCGGGGGGATCTTGTCACCACCAGACTTCTTGAGTCAGTTGGTGTCACAATCAATACTGAACTGAACCTCTATATCTGTCTCCCATGTGGCTCGGCTCATACCCACTCCATTGATTTCTCTTGTGGGATTCTCAATCATCTTCAGCATGAGCACAGCGGTGCAACCTCATCTATCCGAGACCATATTGTCGAATACACTCATGGCTTCCCAATTATGGAGAAGTATCCAAGCATTGAATCAACAACGGTGGCTCGACTTGCATTCAGTGGTGTCCATATTACTCAGGACCAGTTTGGTTGTCTCCACTGTCCATATGCCGCCTCAGAAAAAGTTGTTCAGAGGTATATGCGGGAAACTCACCTGGATCGAAAGGGTAAAGCTAGCTCTGGGCTGTCAACCCAGGTCCTTAATAGCGGCACATCTAATGCCACCACTCGTATTCGTGTAGCGGAGCGGTTAGATGTGGATGATGAGCCTCCATCTCCCATGTCCTCACCCCTCGCTCCGTTGACTCCGACTCAGAGTAGTGCCTTCGGGCCATCAAGTCCATCACCACCTTCATCACAGCCTCGGACACCTAGGCCTGCCAAAACACTTATGGACCTTTTCTCGGAATTTGACCCCAAGGATTACCAGGCAGAGGAACTCCCTAATGCACACATGATCACTCCTTGGCTTCTGCGCAATGGCTGGCACAAGCACCTCGAACCCTATCGCGACGACGATGCTCAGCTGATCCAGCTGGCATCTGTTCTGTCCGATGAGGAATTCCCCGCTTTGCATAAAGCTGTTGCGTCTTATTTTACCGTGGCAACCAACCTCATTGAGCACACAAATGAGGTAGTACTTCAGCGCCTGAACAGCGCAGACCCAGTCAAAAAGTGCGTGTTTGCCATCTATAAGCCCACTCAGCTGCTAACAACACACTGCTGCACAACCACCACCAAGGTGATAAAACATTTGGGCAATATATCAATGTCATTGTGCGCTTGCTAGCTTCACTCTTGCGCGAGCCAGAGCACTATTGGATGCCGGTCACCGAGCAGTTGAAGAGTGCACTGCAGTCAGCCCTCACTTCTTTCACCGACTCTGTGGATATCACACAGCATTGCTCCCAACTCCATCGGATTTTACTTTCGCTGTGGATGGCCAAGTGGGAGGCAACCCAGCACCATACCATTCACGATCCAACAATGTGCTTCTTGGCATTGCTCAGTCTTGAACCATCAGGGGAGTTTGCTGGCCCGAAGAAAACAACTGGGCCTTCTAGCTTTGGGCAGGTATGTGTGTATTATCTGGGATACCAGGAGCAATAGAGATCTGATAGCACAGAGGGTTAGTGCATCTGCTGGAAATTGTCCTCGTAAATTTCCGTTAAGCAGAAGACCCTCGTTCGATCCGGGGTCAGGTCATATACCATGAATAGTGCAATTTTTTGGCTTTCGGCACATTTTTGTTTCGCCCTTACCGTAGCCTCGATATCTCATCTATTGAATAGAGGTTGATTGTGAGTGGAGTGGTGTTGAAGAATCTCAGGGAAGGGCATCTCGGGCTTGTTTGAGTTTTAAACAAGTTGAACTCAAGCAGCACAGGTACTACTTCCAACACACACAGCTATTAAGATCTGATAGCACAGTTGGTTAGTGCATCTGTTGAATTTATGCATCATTTCTCACGCTTAAGCAGAACACCCTCGTTCGACTGGGGGTCAGGTCATGTACCAGGAATAGTGGAATTTTTGGCTTTCGGTACATTTTTGTTTCACCTTTGCCTGTTGTCGGTATCTCATTCACCTTCGTATTTGCGACTCGGTCTGAATAAATCGCTGCACTGACCGTCCAAGGAGAAGAATTCAGATGGTTCGGGCATCTCGGACTTGTTCCGACTTTCAAGTTCAACTGTTCAACACAACAAGCTGAGTCACCGGAAAATAAGTAAGTTAAGCACATATTGTCTCGGGTACCAGAGGCAATCAAGACCCGATAGCACAGCTAGTTAGTGCATCTGCTCAAAATTCACTTTCGTTGTTGCTTAAGCAAAAGACCCCCGTTTGATCCGGGGTCAGGTCATGCGCAGTTATCCACATCCTTTTTGTTTCTTTCCCCTCCTACAAAATGCTTCTCAATTGCACGGTTATTTCTCCCAATCTTTTACTCCGAAGAATTATTTGACTCTCACAACATTTGTTCCAAGGGCATTCGGGCATCTCGGGCTCCCAATTCCTACCTTTTCTCACAAAGTCAAATTGAATGGGTATGTATTGCCTGTGATACCACAGCCACCAAGACCTAATAGCACAACTGGTTAGTGCATCTGCTGAAAATGAGTAATGAACAATATTAAGCAGAAGACCCGGTTCAATTCGGGGTTGGGTCATGGGTGATAAAAAGAATGTTTTTGGTTTCTTTTTCTGTTTTCTTCCATTTCACTTCCTTGCTTCTCGATCCAACGATCCCATCCCCTTCCTCTTCCTTGTATCTGCAACTCGGTCTGACCACATTCACAGGAATAATTTAGACCGTTCGGGCATCTCAGGCCTGCCTACTTTTCACAACCACAAGTTGAACTTAAACAAGGCACATATTATCTCTGGTACCAAGAGTAATCATGATCTGATAGCACAGTTGGTTAGTGTATCTGCTGAAAATAGCCGGTGGTGAAGAATCTTAAGCAGAAGACCCTCGTTCAATTCGGGGTTGGGTCATACTGTCTTCGAAATCTCTTTTTACCTTTCTTTTTCACATTTTTGCTTTGCCTTTGCTCTATCTCCGAGGGGACGTCGGGATTCGAAAATCGGAAAGGGGGTCGAAAAGTTTTTTCAGCCTTAGCTGGACTCCCCCCCCCCCTGCCTTATCGGGAAGGTGTCTCCCACCCCTGGCGCCGGGCCGCTCCCTCCGGACTTTCCGCAGCCCACTGAACCTCCCTCAGACAACTACTGCCACCTGGTTTTGATCCCTGAGGTACATATTATTCTTCCTAAACCTATCTAAAGTGCCACAAGACTTTGATTAGACCGGCAAAAAAATTTGAACCTGCCCCGGCATCTTGCCGGCACTGCTGACCAAGCACTTTTTGATTGAAAATGCTAATTTCAACACCGTCTGAGATGAGTGAGAAGCAAAAGGTGAGGTTTCTTACTCATTGGGACCCTCATATGTCTCTACTAACATTTTTACACCCTCCCATAGCCCTCCCAAAACTTACACTACAAAGTTTTTTTCAGCCTTCTCCAGACCCCCACCCCTCCCCCCATCCGAAATTTTAATCCCGACGTCCCCTTGGGTATCTCATTCTTAGTTGAATAAAAGTTGACTGTGAGTGGTGTTGAAGACGGGCTTTTGGGGCTTTTTCCCACAATTTCAACACGACGACAAGTTGATGTCAAGATTTTTTTACGGTACATGTACTAGGAGGAACAATGACCTGATAGCACAGCTGGTAGTGCATCTACTGAAAGTAAAGAAATTTACTCTGACCTTCCTGCCCTCCCAGACTTGCACATCAAGGCTAAACCAGAATCCCTGAAGCCAACACAATGAATTTCTTTGCTGTTCGGGCAATCTCGGGCATGTTCGAACTTGGACTTCAGCCGCTTCGACCTCTGTAAAGCTTACCTCGGCGACATGTGATGCTACTTATTGTGATGCATTCCGCGCCGATTCACTCCGTCTCGTTGTCACGATGGACATCGTCGCGGTGTGGGCGCATGTAGGTCCTCTTCTTGATCTTCATTTTCTGGCTTCCTTTCTTCATTCCGCGTCTTCCATCGGTGTCTTCCTTTCGTTGCGCGTCTTCCTCTTTCATTCTATTTCCATGCCGTCCGTCCTTCTCTCGGCGTTGTCTTTGATTTTCTGCCGCCGGTTACACAAGCGCCCACCGCTCATAACGCTGACGCACATCTGTCTTTTGATCGCAACAAATAATTACCTGACCGTTTTCTAGAATTTCCGCATCGTTCTCAACCCTGACCAATCATAGCCCTTACCATAAAACATGTGGTACAGTAAAATTCCACTGCCTTGGCGCCGTTAGATTGAATAGCCTAAGAGGGCAATGGATGGCGAACCCACACTGACCCACGGACAGCCCTGTGGCGTCCGGCATCGGGCATGTAGCCGGGCTGCAGTGGAGCGAATTTCAATGTGTGCAGCGGAGTTGAGATACATAGGGCGCTGAGATCGGTACCGTTGGCCGTGGATATACGGAACCTCGTGGATGTTCTGTTGTACTCATCTCGCGATTCGAAAAGGATTAGTCTGTGGAGCTCCGCAGTGCAGGGCGGACCCTACTCCGCAGCAGCGCACCGCGTCCTTCCGTTTGTTTTCTACGCCCGCACGACGACGGGATCCCGCAGCAGAGTTACAGACTGGCATCGGGAGTAATAATCTCCGCCGAAAAATTGAGCGCGGTCGGGTCGGAATTACAAATGGTAACGGAGAACCGAAGATCACCTCGAGGTCTCTAGGGGCCCTGCCATTGCAAGATACCCGACGACTCGCAGTACCGGACGAGGTTAATTAATCCGTATAACGGTATCAGTAGATTCTCACGGTTCAAAATGTCGTCTCCGCGCACGGGTGTGGTGTTTTTCGTATTCCCGCTTGAGTGATCCTCGACATTGATTGCGCCGGGGACGTGGTGGGGGCGCAAAACAGGAGGGAGAACCTAGAAGACGACGCACCAGAGAATGTCGAAAAACTATCATACAGTACATGGGATTCAATTCAAGCGTGGTCAGGGTGAGAAGTCACAAATGCAAAGCATTAAATAATATACTTTCATCTCAAATTCTCAAATATTGTGACCGTACCGGGCAACGCGGCTGAGATGGGTGAACACCGAAACAGGAAAACTGCGGATGTCAACGAAGGTCGATCTGATGGGGTTGGAACCTTACCAATATCTGAACGACATTGTACCAGTTTCCGCCGTTCTAAACGTCCCACAGCATACCTGGCGTAAAAACTGATCGTGCGAGATCTCTTGTGATGGCAAATTGTTCCCACGGTTCGAAATCTCTGCGAGCGCTGGTGTTAATAAATGGTCTCCACTCCTCTTGATCTATGTTACACAACAATGGTTGGTCTTTCCTTGAGCCTTGAGTGAGGGGCGTAGGCCGTCTGCTGCTGAGGTTTCGCTTCACGGCATCGAATTTGATGGTGATTCCCACGGTTCGGTTTTTAACAATATGTTGACACGCACCTCACTAACGTTGAACTCGAGTAGATTTCGACTTGTTGGATTTTCAGCAGTTGACTGCTACCACATGAATGATGCCCGAACCACCGAGCAAAGGACAGCCGTTGGGATCAAACAACCACATTAGAACAAGGACAGCAAGAACAACCGGAGTAGTTTTGTGATCAATTAGGGGGGAGGGATTCTAAAGTAGCTCAATACGATGCCAAGGAATAAAGCACAGTCAGACATAATTATTGCAGTCTTGGTCAATCCTATGGAATACATAGCAGGTGAGACGGCTGGATAAATCTGGCTGAAAGGACTCCAACCTAGCGATAGCTTCCACTTCTTTGAAGTAGTCTGTGGGATCGGTAAGGTCTCGCAATGTTGACAGGTCGTGCGTGAAATTAACGGTAATGACGCCCTAAGGAACTGGCGGCTCATCGATAAATACTTCATCGGGACGTCTTAGGTGCGGCACAATGAGGTCAGCCATCCAACTCCAACTCATTCGCCTTCAACAGGTCCAATTTCCTCTCCACGTCCTCACTCAAGAGGCGATCGTGCCTATTCATTTCGGCGGGCTCGAACATACAGCCTATCGGCTCTTCGGTGAATTTTGTCGGGCTCCTGACGAAGGCGTATAAGAAGCATGTAACATAGCAATCATTCCAGGGCAGAGGCTGTGACCTTTCAAGGGATCCCGCGATGATGGATGCGACTGCGTGGTCATTGGGAAGATCGGCAACGACATCGACGGTTCTATACATCGGTCTGGAAACGTGGGGGGGTCTCCTTGGGAAATGAAGTGTACAGTACATGGGTTATAGGGTTCATCCGGCGCGTAGAAAGCGCGTCGCTACGTAGGGCATTCAGCTCCGAACATGTCCCCAAGATCGTCCGACTTACGTCTGAGACCAGAACAGCATATGTCTTGTTCATAAGAGCCTTGCAAGCAGCGACGGCCGTAGGATCTTGCTGAACTTCCGGGTCTAGAGAAGCAACACAGTCGATGGTGAAGACGGCACAGGCGCCGACGGTTGGAAGGATCGTCCGCCCCATGCTATCAGTGAGCGGGTTGTCGGTCAACGCCAGGGATAGAGAGGAAATAAAACAAGAGGAGTACACAATAACTGGAACAAGGAGCGCTAAAAGAACAAAAGACGATCAATTCTGGGGCCCACAATATCAATCAAGTTGACCAAAACCAACCTCGAATGCTTATATCTTCTTGTCCCCTCCTACTTGTATTCAGTAACCATCGAGGTAACAATAGTGTGTCGTCCTTGCAATGCCTTGTTCAACAAGCTGTTCAGTCGTTTATAACAGGAGATAATGGGAGGGACATTCCTAAATACCATCCACCCCAATGTCTACTGCAGGCCAACATAAACTCTTTCGAAGCAGGGCTCGCGCTCCACCCTCTCAGCGACTCGGATATTTTTACATTTACCCATATTTATTTGCCGCAGCTGGTGCGGACCTGCTCGCGATCGGCAATAGCGCTGCCGGCCCGTTTACGGGAGAATTGCACGCCTACCAGTCGGCAGTGCGACAGAGCCTATTGTGAACCGGCGACCGCGACGACATTCGTCGCGGAACCACCGTTGACGGATACCCAGCACTCCCCCTGCTCGTCCACAACTGGAGGTCCCGGAGATAGCATCGGTAACACAAGTATCAGAGTCGAACATTGGCAAAGTATGTGAAACTCGCACCTCTTCCAGTTTGTTCGTAACTAACATTGGCGCATAGAAAACCTCCGTCACCGGTTCCTTGAGGCGAGCATCATCCTTCATCCGCCGCTCTGCATCCTCCAGCCGGACGCCGTCCCTGCGGGGTGTCCCTCCCGCCGAAGTCACGATTGCGGTGCGTACCATTCTCCTCCCTGAACTGTCTTCGCTCATTCTTTTTTGTAAGAGGAATTGAAGGAGTGGGGCGTAAAAGTGCTCTTTAAAAAACTAAATCAGCGACAGAGACTCCGATGAGAGGTTGCGCGCACCGCGCTGGCGCGGGAGTTTCTTCCTACTCGAGTATTTTCGGGTTGCATGTTGTAGTCGTATTTATTTTATGTTATTATCGGACCCGACGATCTGGCATGCGGAGGACGTCCTCTGTAAGCGTTGACCGGTAAAGGGGGGAAGAAGGGGACCGGGAGGGAGAAATGAGGGAATATGGGGAAGAGAGGAAAAATG